ATTAATATGGTTAATAAATTAGCCCACCAATTTGAAATGAAAGCAACGAGGTGATACAGGGGGCAGAACTAACTCTAGATCTTTGGGGGGCCAATTTTAAAATTTAATATATATGTGTGGGCCCATATTTATATTTTATTTTTAAAAAATAATTTTAAAACTTATAAAATATTATTAAATGAAAAAATTGTTTGATATTATATAAATATTTCAAATTAAAGAGATATTTTTAAATTTATAATTTTTAAAAAAATCCTTAAATATAATTTTCCATTTTTAAAAATATATATTAAAGGATCTAACTAAAATGTATTTTAATGGATAGTAAAAATAATTATAATAATAAACTAAAAAATTGAAATGATCCCTAGTATATGATATCCATGCAATAAATATGATCGTACATCAAAATAACAATATCACTTCCCATAATAAGCTTTTAACTTTCTGGGCAAAATAATAATAATAAGCTTTTAACTGGGCTCACCATCTTTTTTCCTTTTGTACTCTACTTCCTCCATGCGTCATTGATGAGAACTGTGACCTTCAGCAACAGTATGCTCGCTGAACTAATTCCTTCAATAAGTTCACTTCCTTTCTTCTGGAAATTTTGGCAAGGAAGTTTAGGCGGGCCACGGCACCCTCCAACAATAAGAACCCTCCAACAATGAGATATATTCCTCATTTCCTTTTGGAAAGAGGAAAAAAAGTCCTTACTCTGAAAACAATTACTTACTCCATGCCAAGTTATAAAATATTTTTAAAAAAAATTATACATATTAATAAAACTCATTATTACACCAGCTAGCTGTCCAGACTTTTGAAAAAAGATTCACCTTTTTGGGGTCCCAACCAAACAAAAGTTGTCCAATATTTAAAACAAATTTGTTAACATCCTCCTTCACTCAAAATCCTGGACAAAGGACAACTTTTATTTAATACTTCACTTATAAAAAGAATATTAAAGAGAAAAAATATATATGAAAGATAATATTGGAAAAGCATTAATGAAACTTTATTTTTGTTAGAGTATCTTATATCTTGGGATACTAAATCTCTTCTAAAAATATCTTATAACTTGAGATGAATGTAATACTACTCTTATCCTTAGTTAATTAACATAGAATATTTCTAACTATCTTACACCGGTAAGAAGACTTTAGAAGTTGGTTAGGCAATAAAATTTATCAAAAAAAAAATTCAATACTTCTATTTTTTTAACCAGAAAAGGAGCCAATTTTATTGATTACAAAAAAAAAAAAGAACAGTTATAAACACCAATAGCCTGAGTAAAAAAAAAAAACCTTATATATACAACCTAACACAACAAAAAGAAGAACAATAACCAGTTTAACAGAAAAAAACAAACCAAGAAAAAACAAAACGCAATAATGCAAACACTAAAGCTCCAATACCATTTGTTGACGTCATAAGAAACATCCATATGGAAGTGCTGTGAGGTATAGGACCTGGCTTACTTTTTTTTAACATCTCATACATATTAGAGCCTGTTTGAATACATTAGTTTTAGCTTTCGAAAAGCACACTTAAAATGTAGAATATTATTTGAAAATTGTATAATGAATCAAACTTACTTTTTAAATGTACATTCAAGAACCCATTGAAAGTGGATTTGGAAACTTGCCGCCAAGAAACTTTTGAAATGTAGCTTTTGAGATATTAATGGGAAAATACACATGGCATATGATGGGTGGATAAAAAGTTTACATTGCATTAGTAAATTTCACGTGAAACCCAATCAACTTTATTTTATAATCTTATTTTTTAAATAAAAATTACATTTAAAAATGTTACGCGATTTTAAAAAATAATAATAATGTTATGTCACAGAGAATTATTATTTTCAATATATCTAATTTTATACTTTTTTATTCTTCTTGTTTAACATATCAAATTTTATGTTATTTAAAAATTTTTATGGTGAATTTAATAATAATTTTTTTCAATACATCTGACTTTATATTTTTTTATTGTTATTATTTAAAAAATTAAATTTTATGTTATTTAAAATTTTATCATATTTTTTAAATATTTTTAATATATTATATTTATATAAAAAATTACAAGTCATTATAAATTAATGCCTTTGTTGTCGTACATTCAAAAATACTTTTTATTATATATATTTTAAACGACTTTCAGTTTATCAAATTAATTTTTTAAAAAAATATATTTAAATAAAAATTTTATTATAATAACTAACTTTTATTTAATGAATTTTTAGTAAATAAATTTTTAATAAATTAAAAATTAAATACATAATTAATAATTTCCTGGCCGACAAAATCTCATACGTAATTTCAGGCCCAAAACTTTTGTTACGTCTCAAGCCCATTTCATAGCGTGTGTTAATGACACCTCACTTTCTTGTATTGGATTTTCGCTTTGTAGCATTTGAGGCTTGATCCTCAAGTGTACATTTGGCGCTTGTTTTCTATTTGAAGAAAGAAAAGAAGAGAAAAGTTCCTCCAACGTTAGACTAATATAAATAGCAGTCAAGCCCAGTGGAACATATCTACAGGTTGGCCAGTATATGTATACATATCTGTCGTCAGTACTAATACTCTGTATATTGAAATTGAATTTGAAGCTACGCACTTGCATGCATCTTATTTCTATACTTTCGAACAGATTGATATCCTTTTCATACTCTATTAATACCTCCTTTTTTATTCAATTATATCTATTCATTTGATTTAATAATATAAACTTGATGACTATGTCATTAAAATGAATAAATTATTAATTATCATCACATAAATGTTTTTAAAAATATGATTATAATGCTACATAATTATACTCTCTTTATCCCAATTTATGTGACACTTGGAAAAGATGAGACATTTTAAAATATAAGACACTATGATAAAAATAATATTTCATAAATGACACTTTCTAATATTACCTCTCTCTTTCTCTCTGAAAAATGGAATATTAATGAAGCATATTTTTAAAAGTATATATTTTTGTTTTGAAAAAAAATAAGATTATAAACTGTATTTAATAAAGTTTACTATCATACATGATTATGTTTATAAATATCTTATTGAAAGGGAAGTAGTAGTTTTTAGTAGTCATTAAATTAACAAAATGTTTATTTTGATGTCATAATAAAACTAAATATAGTGTTTTGATTGATGAATTTAGATTTAATTTTTAGATTAAAATCATAGATTTTAAAATCTAACATTTAAAATTCATGTAGTTAAAATTTTTTATTTGAATAACGTAAAATATGTTAACGGTAAAAGAGATATGAGTTGAGATTTGAAGCAAAAACAGATGATTAAAAGTGGCAAGCTTACCTAAATGAGATATGAGAGGAATGATAAGAATAACATATATACTGATAGTTAAAAATTGAGATGGTTGGAATTTCCAAAATTTTAAATAAATAGAGTTTATAGAGAATTTAAAATTATAAAAAAATGTGTGATAAAACATGGATTTATAACAGGATTAGGATCAAATCCAAAAACTTTTATATATCAAAATGAAGGATTTGGTTCAGATCCAAATGTAAATCCAATACTTATGCATCCAAGCCACATAAATGAATAGTTAAATGGACGCTTGAGAAAAGGTATGGATAAGATTCAAGTCCGTGATGACACATTAAGGTTCTATTTGATTGCTAGAAAAGAATGAAACGAATGAACTAAAAAAATAAAAGTAATAACATTATTAAAATGTGGATGGAAATAGGTGAAAGATATTCATAAGAGAAAATGGTATGATGATTCATGAAATTTTTGGAGGGTATGATGATTTCACATTTGTGGCATATATTTTTTATTTTTATCATACTTACCATGAAAGAAAATGGTGATTTACCCCCTTTAAATCACAATATAAGATGTATTCTACAAATCTCACCTGGTCCAAAATATAGAGCATTGAATAACTTAAATATTTATTTTTTCTACTATACCCTTGCTTCATTTATCATTCTTTTTGAAAAAAATCATGCATTAAGATTTTAATTATTATCATCAAGGCTCTTATATATGATATTTAATGAGGATATAAATGAAAAGAGGTAAACATTTTTAAAAATTTAATGTTTCAACCAACATTGTTCATAAACCACAAATTAGTTAACCATAACTTATTATTGTCAAGAGGGAATAGTTCATTTTTGTTTTGAATTTTTCAATCCATTCTACTTTTTTTAGGAGTCATTTTTACTCCTCAATTTTACTCGAAAAGTCACTAAGATTCCTAAACTCAAGCATAGGTTAATTTTTTTCCTTAAAGTTAAAAATTACTTTCTTCATTATCTTGATATTAAAAACACTTAATGTTTGATAGTTATAAGTGAGTTTCACTTAATATTTTTTAGTAATTATTTTTTCTCTTAACTTTTATTTAAAAGGTCAATGAACACCCTCAATTTAAATATTTTATAATAAAAAATATTTAAAAAATTATAATGTGAGACTCACTAACGATCAACTAACAATAATAAAATGACAAGGTGATAAAGAAAATTTTTTTTAAATCAACAGATAAAATTGACCATAATTGAGTTTAAAATTTTGTTAATGTTTAAGGTAAAATTGTGGGGCTAAAAGTAACCTTAACTTTCTTTCTTTCTTTCTTACTTTTTTTTTTTTTTTAACCAACAAAACGGGACTCAAGGGGGAAAAATGAGGAGGTCTGCTCACCTTTCCAATTCCGCCCACTCAAGCATCACACGCAGGGGTAGAAACAGAGGTACGAGGAAGTGTGAATGACTGGTAATGCTTCTGCACGCAAGCGACTAGCCTGTGGGCAGCGAGTGAGAGATGAGATGCGCGCGCGCGCGCACACACACACATATTTATGGCTATTGAGAAAGAGAAAAGCATCTAAATCCCAAGGATCAAACTTGTACAAATAGCCCTCAACAACGATGAAAATAGGTAATGGTAAGACAAAACTCTGTTTGCATATCTCTGTTTTTGGGGCTAAAAATAGAGACAAAACAAGTAATCCTGTAACATGCAAAGAAGGTCATACGTACATAAGAATATCTTAGTGTCAAGGATATCATCGCACAGTTAGAATAGATTCCAATCTATGTTTATATACATATGAGACTAATAAAATTGGTTCGTTGCTATTTTATTATTTTTATGACACTCACTTCCTCATCCTTACTATATTAGTATTAAAGAGGCAACTCTGCACAACATATTATTGTAAATCAGTGCAGGGGATTTCAAGCAAGTTTAAATAGACTTAATACGAGAAGTTGGCACAGCAAACAAGTTCTTGGCTCTTGGGAGTGACAAGCCAAATTTCTCACTCATATCCAAATCATTTGGATCCTGTCCCCATGGAATCTCCCAACTAAAGCAGTGAACCAATTGAGCCACAACAAGTTTAACGGTAATCAAACCCAGGTGTATCCCAGGACATCCTCTGCGACCAGATCCAAATGGTATGAATTCAAAGTCAAGTCCACGATAGTCCACATCCTTGTCGACGAACCTCTCTGGATAGAAATCTTCTGCGTTAAACCAGACCTTAGGATCTCGTCCTATTGCCCACATATTGATCATAATTCTTGTGTTTTTCTCCAAGTAGTAACCATCAACTACTGCATCCTCTGTTGACACTCGAGGGATCAGCGATCCTGCAGGATATAATCTCATGGTCTCCTTGATCACCATATCTAAATAACGAAGCCTTACCAAGTCTGTCTCCTCCACCGTCTTGTTCCTTCCAACCACAGTTTCTAACTCTTCTTGAAGGGTTTTCATAACCCTTGGATGAATTATTAGTACAGATAATGCCCACAGAATGATGGAGGTAGATGTTTCAAATGATCCAGCAATCATGTCTAAAACAATAGCCTTAATGTTAGTTCGGTCAATGCCATAGTTTTGCCCGTCGACAGAATGGCGCACCAGCGAAAGTAGTATGTCTACAAAGTCTTCTCGCTCCTTAGACGTGTCAATGGCCTCTTCATGCTCTCCAATTATCTTCTCTAGTATTTCGTCGAGTGCTTTACTGATTTTTGTGATGGCTCGTTTTATTCCCTGATAATTGATATAACACAACTTAAATTGATTTAGAGTGAGTTTGATTGGGGAGAGGAGGGAGGGATGAAAGGGAGGGAAAGGAAAGGGTTTTAATAAACCTTTATTTAATTTAAGGAGGGAGGAAACGAAAAATTTAACTTGATTTTTATTTTTTTACTTTAAAAAAACTGTTATATTATAATTTATTAAGTTTCTATTTTAAAACTATGAACTTATATTAATAAAAAAATTGAAGAACAAATACATTAATATTATATTTTACTAGCAAGTCTAATAAAAGATATTAAAATTTTATACATTAAAAAAATTATATATTAATTTTTGTAAGGTGATAATATTTATTCTACTATAAGAAAGAGATAATACATAATTTTTTTTAATATCAAAGGCAGTGTAGGAATTTTTAAAATAAATTTTTAAATTAATTTTAATTATTTTCTCCCTCCTCTCCCCTCCAAAGAATCTCTAATGTTTTAACTAAATAAAAGGTTTCCCTCGCCTTCCCTTCAAAAATTTCTAATCAAACACACTCTTAAGGTCTATCATTATATTCTTCATTGAAACTATTTAGTTAATTTTGTAGATATAATTCATGTCATAAGACTAAAACCTTTTGGCATTATCATCAATTTATTATATTTATTAATGATATATCATTATATAATAATAATAAATTTTTTATAAATTTTTAAATTTTTAATGATAAACGTATTATATATTAATAATAAATTTTTTATATATCAATGTGAATTGACGATACTTTTAAATTTTTAAAACTATAGTCCATATTTACAATATTTTTTTAGGCAAGTGGGCTAATTTATCTTTATAACCATAAGTGGACTCTAAATTTATTCTTAGAGATATGTTTCCAACTTAAAAAAAAATGTACAACGTTATTTTTATTATTAATATAAGTTAATTTTAATTATTAATTGATAAAAAATACAAAAAAATTCACAATTATATTACAAACAAAATCCAAACAACTACAAAAAAATGAAAAAAAATTCTTGGTTTTTTCAAAAAAATTTGAAATATTTTTTATGTAAGTTTGTGGTCAACCAATGATAAAAATTAAAATTTGTCAATAGTAGAAGGTTGTATGATTTTAAAAATTGAAGAGGAATATAATACGAGAAAGAGTTTAGGATCTCATCTATAATTTAGAGATAAATTTATCATTATGATCCCACACGTGTCCAAGTCTCATCAAAATGACCCCATTAAATGTAGAGTACCTTATGTATTTTGAATAAAGTTGGTTTAATCCCTTTCTTAACGAAAAAATAAAGTTAGTTTGATCATGTCATAAAAAAAATTAAATAAAAGTGAAAAATCGAAAGGACAAAGTTTATTGCATACCTGAAGATCAAACCGCCCTAGCCAAGGCACGAAATCTGTCAGATTAAAAGCTCCGGCGAGCCTCATTGCTTCATGAATATGCCCCTTCAAATCAAGTTGGTCATCCTTGTTACAACCCAGTATCATCCTATAGGTAATATTCTCTACAAGCTCCGACACCACCTGGCTGACGTCCACAACCTCACGCGCCGCCGCAGCTTCCTCGAGGGATTTTACCACCGCGTCCAACTCTTCCCTCCTCAGAGGAGAAAAAGACTCCACTTTTGACGCACTGAGAAGATGCAAGGTACACAATTTTCTCATGTTCCTCCAGTAAGGTCCATACTCGCAAAACACGATGCCCTTGGATCCATAAGTAACGATGTCGCTAGCTTGAAGCTTGGGACGGCTGGCGAAAACGGCGTCGTTGGTCTTGAGCAAAGATTCGGTAGCTTCCGACGACGAAATTATCACCACTGGTACTTGTCCTAGCCGAAGGGACATGATGGGTCCGTATCTTCTGGCCAAGGATTGAAGGTCGCGGTGGGGGAGTTTACCCAACAAGTGGAGGTTACCGATGATCGGCAGAGCCGCTGGACCCGGTGGTGGCTTTCTCTGATTCTGGCCATCTCTGCTTCGTTTTGGACGCCGTGAGAGAATGAACAGAAACGTGAGAAGGATTGTTGCAGGGATCGCTAATGATGAAAGATACATGTTTGATTATATTGCTTCAACGAAACTGAGTTCGTCTTGGAGTGTTATGGGAAAGTAGGACTGAGGGAGGCGCGTGAAATTGGGACTTGGCTTCTGTCCGTTTCCTCTCCTCTCCTCATCTTAGCTTTTGACATTCATTTTTAAATCATTGAAATTTAATATTTCATAAAATTATAATTAAAATATTAAAATTTATGAAAAATAAATAAATAAATTTAAAATATAATTTTTAACTTAAAATTTAAAATTTAAGATAATATTTAAAAAATAAAAAATTAATTTATTAAACATTAAATTTCATCCATAGATTAAGGAATGAGATGGAAAATAGAGAGAAAGTAGAAAGAGAAATGAGGAGAAGTCAAGTCAGTGAAATTGTAATGCTACTTTCATCAATAAGAATATTTTATTGAATGTTAGTTGATTGACCGACTAAGCTTTTGTTCAGAGTTCAAAGCACACCGCGTTTGAAAAGCAGATAAATATCTTAAAGAGAGTTACAATCAATTCCTAAATAAAAAATTAATTATCCCAAATAAATAAATAAATTATTTTTAAAATTTTATTTACGAGTTAAACTTCAACATTACATGTTAAATTTCAATTTTACAAATGGACAAGACTTACAAGGAATTTATTCTTTTATCTAAGATCAATATGGGACTCAAAAAAAGAAAAACAGACAGTTCTCATAATAATGTTGGAAAAATATATTCTCTCCTTTAAAAAATGAAGGACAATTCTCATAATAAAGTTATTATCAATAAGGACATTTTAAAAGAAAATAATGATCACACCTCAAAAGATTAATAATACCTTACATTTTTAACATTCAACTCCTCAAAAAATACCTTACATTTTTTAATGGAAGGAATAATAGTTAGGTCTCAAAGTTTTAAATTAATGGCATTCAAATTCCTAACAAATTTTTTTAAGAAAAATAAGTCGTAGAGTGTAGACATCAATTTAAACAAATAAATTTAAAAAATTTAATTGTAGATAAAATATTTAAATTCCAAAAGTATAATAGTAAGATTATATCTAAAATTCTTGTTTATAATTTCCTGAACTAATATTTATAATTCATTTTTTATATCAAAGAAGTAATAATAAATATAAAGAATCACATTAAAAAATCTGACAAGAAACTTATTTGCAAATAAAAATTGACAACAATTCTCATTTGAGAGAAAACAACTCTATGTTTCTATTTAACAACAATTTATTTTGCATTTGTGTCTTTTTCTACGATTAAGTTTCTTGTCAAGTATTTGGTGTAATTCAATATTCTAATAAATATTGTTTAAAAAACCCAATTTTTGTAATTACATTTCTCAAAAGTCATGACTGATTACTGAAAAAATTAATTATTTGATCCTTATAGTTTTAACACAGTTATAATTTAGTCCCTCAATTTTAACTCATTATAACTTAATCTTTAAAATTTTGACTCGTTATAAATCAATCTTTAAAATTCACCTCTTGCAATTTAGTCCCTAAAGTTTTAATTTCTTCAATATTGATCCTCAAATTTTAAAAAATAAAATTATAAAGATTAAAAGGATTTAATAATTTAAAATATTAGTAATAAATTTTCAAATATTTTTAATCTTTATAATTTTATTTTTTAAAATAAAAGAATCAATATTTAAGAGATTAAATCTTCAGAAATTAAATTACAAGAGGTAAAGTTTAGGAACTGATTTACAATAGAGTTAAAATTTTAAAAATTGAGTTATAATAAGTTAAGATTTATAGTTAAATCAAAATCATATGAACAACATAATTAATTTTACCTTGATTCCGTTAAACACCAAATTGACGCCGGGGAAACTTCCAAAGTGCGATGACTCCTTGATCCTGGACTAAATTAAAAAAAAAAAAAAAACGGCTGGCTTTTCATTAGAAAAATGACAGAAAACTTCATCTAAATTATGTAATTGATAGATTAGTCGCATGTTTTTTTTAGAATCTCAAGGGATGTTTTTGTCATTATAGAGTTATAAAAAATGATACTTTTATCCTTTATTCATATTAATATTCACAACTTTTCATACACAAATTTTGTTTATATATTAACAGTTTTTATTTTTAAATTCGCAATAATTTAATAGCTATTCGCAAGTTTTAATATACATCAAGTGTTAAAAATTTAAAATTTTTCATTCACAATTTTTGTTCTTATATTAATAACTTTTATTTCTAAATTTGCAACAATTCAATAATTATTTGTAACTCTATATCTGTAGGTCCTAATATCTATCAGGTGTTAAAAATTCACAATTTTTTATTTACAACTTTTGTTCCTATATTAACAACTTTTATTTTTAAATTTACAATAATTCAATAATCATTCATAATTTCACATATACAGGTCCTGATATGTATCAAGTGTTGAAAATTGGTAAATTTTCATTCATAATTTTTTTCTTATATTAACAATTCTTGTTTTTAAATTCATAATAATTCAATAATTATTTGCAACTTTAGGTATTTTTGTTTTATTTGAGGGCAATTTGATTTTTTTAATTCGCTAATAAAAAAAATTCATGAGACTTCAAGAAAATTTTATATTCCGTGAGGCCAATCTGTCATTTACATAATTTAAATGAATTTTGTGATCATTTTTCCTCTTTCATTTTCCATTATTTAAACAAATAGACAAATACGCATCTTCCGCTCCACGTCAGCCAAATTGCAAGACCTATCCAACATCAACATGCATGCCAAATCTTCTTCTTCTTCATTTTTGTTAACAACTTATTATGTATTTAATAGTATAAGGGATTAAATAATAGTATAACAGATTAAATAGAGTTGACTCTCATAGTATCCCTCCTCCTCCTTTTCCTTGAACCCCAAAAGAAAAAAAAAAGAATTCATTTTTAATTAATTGAGCATGGACTTGAAAACTCCCTGTTTGCCAATAGAAATGTTGGCCTACTTTCACAGCTGATATATCATATAATCTTTTTAATGTGTTGATAGAACATAATAGAACATTCATATTGCGCTATGAAAAAAATACAACTTTAAAAAGAATTATTTTAATTTAACTATTTTTTTTTTCGCCTTCAAGGGTCCACAAATTGTTATAGCAATTTAAAATCCTGCATCGACGACTGCAGGGCTAGCAACAGCTGGCAATTATATATGAAATGTGGGACATTGAAAGACCTGTAATATTAACAAGTGTGTGGCTTAGCAAATTGAGTGGCCCTCACAATGAGGGGTGTGGGTTGCAACGGAAAATTGCTCCTGTCGTTTCTGATCAGAAGCAGAGTGAATTCAACATTCATGCGCGAAAAATCATGCAATGACACAGAAAGTGCGATTCTGCATGCTAGTGGCAGGCAACGTGCAGATGGGGTGCACAGTAAGCTTCGACACGTGGCAACTTAATTAATGAGATTCATGAATCCGTCCTACCAATTTGTCAAATTCAAATACAGCACGGAGGAGCGGCATTCAAATCCAGCCGAAAGAGTTATTTATATTTAATATGCCACCATGTCTTCAACAAGATTAAAAAGATATACTTGCACAACAAAAAAATGACAACTTTGAGGCAAGACAACATGAATTGTGGCAAATTGGAAGTAAGATGCGTAAAAAGTAGAGCCTGTAAATTGGATCTATTCAAGTCCGAGTTTGAATTGGCTTAATCTAAATATTGGATAGCTTTTCTTAGTGTTAGTGAAATAAAATTAGCTAATCTTCACTTAGCATTTAGAACCATTTTCCCAAACTCCCCGTTCACACATTTCACGCTCATAAATAAAGTTTCAATGTTTCAATACTATTTGTTTTGAATTTTTTTCCAAAACATTAAGAAAAAAATAAACATAAAAGTATATTTCATACACTTTCATTTTTACTCTTTTAATGCTTCTTTGTCTCACATTAGTAAGACTATAAAAAAGACGTGTTGCAATTGCAGTATTATATTGCTGGAAAAAATCTATTTTTCAAGGTAAAAATTCAAATTGGTCCGAAAAAATATTTAATAATTTGAATAATTGGATGGGTGTGAAAGTTTGTTTTTTCAGTGTTAGAATTACGTTTGACTATATAAAATTTTTTATACATTGGAATATTTAAAGCCGGATTCATAAAATTCTTGTTTGACTAAGTGCAGCTGCGTGAAATTTTTAAATGTTGATGGATAGGATAAGATCGGACCTTATTGCTTGGCTAACGATTGAAGGGTGCGCCGTTGCCATGCGAAAGTGAACCCATGATCTGACTAATTTTGAGAAAGATTCCTGCAATGTCGAAGGATATACGTGTTTGATGATAAACTTGACTGAAATTGTGTTAGTCCCGTTCCTGCAGCATATCTAATAAATAATCAATTCAGATTTAATTTAAAATAAATGATCCGAATTTAATAATAAATTTTTTATAATTTTAATATTAAATATAAATTATTCAAAATATTTTTAGATAATTAATTTAAAAAAAGTAAAAGAATTTATTAAATTTAATTACCAGCATAAATATTTAGATTTAATATATATAATTCAAATTTATTATTAATTTTTAAAAATTTTAATATTAAATTTAGACCACTCATTAAATCCACAGTCCAAAAATTAATAACAAAACATCTTTATTAAAATATTTTATAATTTTTTAAATTAGTATAAAAAATAAATATTTTAAAATTAAATGATTTAGATTAAATTTAAATAGTCTAGATTACTGGGGGGAAATCCAACTCCTATTTCACGAGATATGAAATTGTATTGCCACTTTATCATTGTTTTGGTAGAAATCAAGAAAGATATTTTATTAAATGTTAATCATAAATTAATCGATCGAGCTACAGCACGCTGCACCAAGCTCAGGCAGGAGCTGTAAGCCCTGTTTGAGAAACAGACAAACGTCGCACGTCTGGCTCTGACGAATGACAATCATTAATCAATGAAAATTTAATGGATGGGGACGAAACTTCGGCGAACGCAAAAACGGGTGCCTTAAAAAAAAAAAATTATATACTTTAAGGTCTGGATTAAAAAAAATAATAATAAAGGATCATTGATACCTTTTAATCTTGCTAAAAAAATTATAGGACACCCTATATTTAAATATAAGTGTCAAGAGTTCCACATTGAGGAGTC